GTTTTCTTCATTACCCATTCAAGCCGTCTCCAGCCATTATTGATGTCAAAGTGGGTTCCTCGTCATCGAATTATAAATTACATTCGCAGAACGTTTAGTCACGACTTTCGTATGTGCCTATATAGATAAATTTTGTGGGAGCAGTTATATCTTTACCATGGTAGTAACTCGCTTTTAGGGAGCAGTTATATCTTTACCATGGTAGTAACTCGCTTTTATATCATTCGGTTAAGTGTATAAAGTTTGTTTAATGGATCATTTGTTTACAATCTCATGAAGCAATTGTGTAGATATATTAATAAAAATATTGAAAAAGTCTCTAACTCTTTAAAATTGAGTGTCATGTTTTAAGGTGAGAAATGAAAAAGAGGATTCTAAACTTTGAAGTGTCTTGTATAATTATTATTTTTTCATAGAAATTTTCGGAAGAAGTGCAAACAGAAATCAAGTGGTTTATGATCCCATGTTTCTACTTGTCAGTAAACGTCCTAAACCACCCGAGAATGTTTTTTTTTTTTGTAAGAGAAATGTTACAGAATTCTTGAACCCAGTCAATCGGAAGATAGTCATAAATCGATTTTGTTAACAATTTGGCCGTAAGCTCCGATTTAAGTCTTTTGGAGCATTTCCACATCAAAGGTGTTTGTATTCCTATTACAGGGTTCCCGCGGAGCCTTAGAAAATCTTAAGTTTTTTCGTTGTATTTTCGAGGTTTTGAAAAGTTTTAGACATGTTGTTGAAGGTCTTAAAAGCCTTGAATCAAACACAAGTCAAAACGGAAATTGTCATCCTTTCAGTAAACGTACATAAGCAGGGGTAACAAAACATGCCGTGCTAGTGAATGAGAAACACACGTCATTGGTATTCATTGTAAATGTATTAAAGTTGAATAGAAGGTATCTGAACGATTATTTATTATCATTTTTGTTATTAATTGGCTCTTAAACAATTGGTCTTAAAAGGTCTTAAATTTGATCAGTTGGCAGCTACAGGGACCATGAATTACACCTTTTTATATTATTTCCAAGTGTTTGTTGATTTTGAGGGAAATAATAATAATAAAAAGAAAGAGCTTTTGTGTTTGTTAAAGATTGATTTTTTGTAACTCTACCTCGTGAACGTCTTTTCTTTAGTTAGGTTTCACTTCAGAGCTGCAATGTATTCCAATACTGACGTGTTTGACGTTGTTATTTTGCGTGTATCAACATCACGTCATGCATAGACATTCAATCCATCAAAACCTTAATACTACTGTTATGCTCGTTGTATACTTCGTGTTTCAAAAGCTTTTTAATATTGCCAATGTTATGAAATATTCTAAAGCTCTTTGAATGTTATATATCGTTGGCAGTTAACTTACGGTTTTGCCTTCGTAAAAATGATATAATATATTGAAACACTAAACCGATAAGCTTCAATGAAGAGCAGATCCATACTGTAAAGTGACTTGTGTCTGTTCGTAGCGAAAAATATTTAACTTCACGACTTTTGATCACCATTAAGTTTTAACGGGTTCTTGGATATACCCTAAAGGGATTCTGAAACCTCTTACTTTAACAATTTTCCCTGTTCCCTCATAGGTAAACGATAAGTTTACAAACCAATAACGCTAAAATCTGGAGTTCATTTCCCCTTGATAAAAAGAGCTCTGAAAACTTGTTGTGTAACTTTGTGCTAAAATAACTAAACAAAGTTCGTCTTCCATTTGTACGAATTTGACAATCACTGTGATATTATCATCCTCAATGATTTCCTTTTAACTAGTCGGATAGATTCCGCAATATAATAGGAACATCGCAAAGTTAAAGTAAGTTCTCTTAGTTTTTTGACTGTGGTTAGAGTCTAAAAGAGGCTGGACGTAATATAAAACATTGTTAAAGCATTCGTTATTCAATACTTAAATCAACGAGCGTGCAAAGGGAAGAGAACGCCTTTACTGAAGCTTTCATAAATATGCAGGTCTCTGTATGTCTGTTGAAAGTAGGTGAAAAATCTACGTGAGACTGAGAAAACATAGTATTATATACACAGTTCTGAAGTGCTGTCCTTCTTAGGCTGGCGTGCTACTTACGACACTGTCGATCATTTCAATAGAAAAATAATGGAGTGAATACTCAAGGTATTATTTGACCTGTCATTGTAAGATGACACTTCCCGTTTTTATATAATGTGTTCTGTTTTACAGCAGTTTTTCTCGTGATAAAGTGCACGTGATACCAAAGAGGAATGACTCAGCACAATGGGGAACTAGAGTGAAAGGAACTTAGCCACATTCCGTGACTAATGTTCTACTTTCAAAACTACCCTTAGTATGCTTGTATACTACATTATTTCAATTTCCGTCGTGTTTCTACGTTAGTGCTAACAAATGATGCACAAGCACACCATTCCGTGGAGCCAAGGAAATAAATTCCGCGTCAGGGCGAGTATCTTTGTTAGCAATTGATTAAAAATGTTATTGGATCTAGTTCGTACATTTTATAATCATGCACTCTTGATTAACAAAAAAAGAAATAATTCTTATCATCTTCGAAAAGGGGGTTGGTTTTGTTTTCAACATCAGATTCCCCCTTATAACGCTAAAACCGGGTTTTGATATCCGTGGTGGGCACAACACAGATAACCTACTGTGTTTAACTACAAACAAAATAAAATCAATGTCAGATTTGATTGTATGGAATGACCCATAATTAGTACCTCATTTTAAAGAAAATGTTAACAGCATCAGAAGATATGGCCAGCTTCATCACAGTAGCTTTATGGGTTGAAGATTTCTCTTTCGTAACCATAGCCTTCATTTCACAGAA